TTAATCACGATTGATCAGTTATCAGTAAGTTACATTAATCGCGATTGATCAGTTATCAGTAAGTTACATTAATCACGATTGATCAGTTATCAGTAAGTTACATTAATCACGATTGATCAGTTATCAGTAAGTTACATTAATCACGATTGATCAGTTATCAGTAAGTTACATATATTAATCACGATTGATCAGTTATCAGTAAGTTACATTAATCACGATTGACCAGTTATCATGCAGTAAGTTACATTAATTGCGATTGATCAGTTAATTATCACGATAGATCAGCGTATTTGGTGTTCACTATCACAAAAATGGTATTAACAATCAGATTTAACCACATTTACACTAAACCAGTATCTTCATAGATGCAATGATTTAACGCTATTTTGGTGTTGTAGCAAAACCCATAAATTTATAGTGTAGTTTAACTGAATTGAAGTGTGGTTTAACAAAAGCAGCAAAAACTCGCGAAACTTTAAAAAATTCCGGATATCGCAGAGTTTCCCCATCATTTTTAGACTTTCAAATAATCTTTTCTTTAGCTTTTTTCGAAAGTGCGTGAGGTCCATCCCGAATACAAAGACATCATTCATGTCATGAAAGGAGACATGTCTGAACCTTTTCTTGGATTATCCGAAGATGATCAGCGGCTGCTTCACGAAACTGTTGAGATTGTATTCCACTCCGCTGCGACTGTCAGATTTGATGAAGAACTAAGGTATATATGGACCACATTAATCTGTATAATCATTTACAAATATGACTGCAAACCTACATTTTAGCGAATATTTAACAATTTAGTCAAATATTGTGTGAAAATCTTGAAAGTTTGGTTGCAGTGGAGCTGCTCGGTTCATTTTCTTAATCGATTAATCGAATTGATTAATTAATTTAAATTTGAAATGTGCCTCTCTTGTTGTAACCCTGTTATTCAGTCAGAATTTGTTTGAAATTATTCTTTACTCAAGGTTAGATAGACTTGAAATTATTCTTTACTCAAGGTTAGATAGATAGACTTGTTCAACTCGACTGGTAATCCTCGCTGCGCTCGGGAGGCTCTAGAGCTGTGCAAACTCCGGTTATTTTAGCTCCGGCTCCGACAGTCGAAACTCCGGCTCCGGCAAAGAAATTTTAAGGAAATTTCATATTTAAAAGTAGAAGCGACGAAAGTATTTCAGTGTAATTTCAGAATTTTTTTTATTCCTTTTTGAGCTTTCTCCTTTACTTTGCTTGTTTAAACAATGTTTGGCAGCGTGGTATTTTCGCCCAAAATACATCGGGGTCAGCGTATTTTTGTATCAAAGGCGATAGCAATGCGCTTGCAGATCGGAGCAAGTAATTATTAAACATCGGATCGGAGCAAGTAATTATTAAACTTTATAGTAACTTCAAATCATTCAACTTAATTTTTCCATTACCAACAGTTCATTGAAATATGAAATAATTTTGTCTGCCGGAGCTTTTGCCGGAGTTTTCCAACAACGGCTCCAGCTCCGGTAAAATATGCCGGGGCTCCGGTAAAATATGCCGAGGCTCCGGCTCCGGCGCACAGCTCTATCGGGAGGTCGGGCAAGGCCGGATTTTGGTGGAAGTGCTGGGGCAGGTGGAAATATATTTAGGGAAGGTGCAGCGTCTAGCCCACGGTCCCCATGGAATGTTAGGACTTAGAATGTAGCCCAACTACATAAAGCCAACTACATGACGTATGCATGCACTGTACATATGTATCTGTGTATTTATGAATCATGACTGTACGACGCATCCAATATTGCTCTTCATTACATTACTACAAAGCTTATTTCGAAATATTCCATTAAAAGGGCACTTGATACAGAGATGAATAGTTATCAGTTTTTCAAGTGTAGACTCTAAGCAACGCATAAAAATTTCACTTTGACCTATCATTTAACCTTTCCCAAGGGAAGGTGCATGACGTTTCAGGGGAGGGTGCAAAAAATCTTAGCACCTGCCAACGCCTCTCTTCAAAATCCGACCATGAGCTCAAGCTCAATTCGTTTTATTCGCTCACTGGTTTTCGCTTGTTTTACTCCTTACTATGCGAGACAAGTTACAATCAATGCGTTACGATTTGAGTCGAAATGATTGTTAAAAGCTAGAAGACCTAAAGCCCTACATTTTAGCTTGTATTCATTTTGAAATCCGTGAGGTTTGTTATAATCTGATTGGCTTAAAGCAGTGCGATTACAGCACGAATCGCACTGGTATCAGTGAGAGCTGTAATCCTTTTTTCAACTAATCCGATATAATTATAGGATTCAATCAGCCAATCAATTTTAAGGAGAATTTGATCAGGCAATGACGAAATCAAATCTGATCATCATGATCAATCTGATCATGGTATTAGTACAATTTGTATTAGTTTTAATATAATGCTATAGGGAGGTGTCTTTTCTAAGCAAAAATAATGTTTTCTGTTTACACTACTATACGCTTTCGCAACCTGGTGGTACTGTTTCAGGCCCACTCCCGTCGGCTTTAATACTTAAAAATTTTCAACACACAATTATAAATGTCCGTCACCAGTGTCTTTCAACGTCCTTTGACTTTGAAGGCTTTGGTTGAAAAGACTTTTTCAGGCTTTTCTGAATATTTGTAACCTCTAATCTACGCAATGAAACGTAGGATTTTCGTATCCCTTTACAAACGGTTTATAGTCTTTCGTCTTCAAGATGTTCCTTTTTGTTTTCTTAAAGACTCGCTTTAAAGTTGAACGTTGTTGGTCTGGAGCATGTCTTGGAACTATGCCGTAATGTGAAGAAACTGGAGGTAGGTATATATGGTGTTGGACCGTTGGTCTGTTGGAAACTTTTCAAACTCCGTTACCACATTCACCGTTTTAGACCACAGTATCGACGGTTATCTACATTTCTGGGATTAATCTAAGCTGGATTTGTTGAAGGCTTTTTTTATAAAGATGGAAATCTCGAGTAGAAATGATGTAATTTTTTAGACCTAACTAGGAGTAATAGCTGTTATCGTAATTGAATACGTCTATGCTATAGACCAGCGGTATCTGCATTATTTTAACATCGAGACGAGGCTATAGGATCATGTTTTGTGTTTTTTGACCCTTTAGCCTCGTTTTCGTCCGTACTTCCACTGAGATACCGCTGGTTCGCCGCAGCGGCGTATTCAATTACGATAACAGCTATTTGCAAAAATTCAACTATAGGCCCTCGACAGGTTCCATTCCTCCGCAGAGTTCCATTCCTGCCAACGAAAGCTTGTTCATATTATTCGCACTACGTACACGGCACAGACACTTCAAGATTATTCCAATGGAACATTTGCATTATAGACTAAATTTTGATCTAGACAAAAATTTCATCACAGCTTGAAAGAGCATCACAAAATTAGTAATATTCCAAAGTTTCGTTGCGAAATGTTGTAAAATGCGGATAATATAGCCATG